GGGGGCTGGGCGCTGCAGCCCCCCTGGTTCTGCGCATTCCTGGAGGAAAAGGCATTTTTGGGGGCAGCCGAGCGCCTGGGAGAAATTCCAGGGCTGCCTTTGGAGTGCAGCTCTGGCTGAGCTGCTGAGACCTGGCACTACCGTGGTGGCACTGGGGAGTGGGGCTTCAGCGGGGTGGCTGCTCTTTTTGGGCTCAAGAAGGCATCGCAGTGACTTGCAAATGTGCCAAGCTCCGGGCTGACTGCTGGGAACGGTCCAAGGTGATTGTGTGGGTCCAACCCTGGTTTGGAGCCCAGACTCTGCTCATCTTTAGACACTGGTGCAGGCTGTGCCCCAGGGAAACCAAGTTTGGGCACCTTGTGCCTCAGTTTCCCCCTCTGCAGAGCTGCCTCTTTTGAGATTTTGGCCAGCAGTGCTGCCAGAGGGGTCTGCCAGCAGCTGCGGGCAATGCCCTGCCTGTGCCCCGTGGGAAGCAGCATTTCCCATGCCTCATGCACAGCCGCGCACAGAGGGAAGTCAAGTCACGTCCGCTCCATGACCTGCCGGCGGGTCATCTCCCGTTAGTCACCGTGTCCCTGCCAGAGTCACGGCCACTGTCTCACTCCAAGCAGCTCCATGGGCTGGGTGTTGGTGGGGCAGTGCAACTCCCCACCTCAGGGCCCTGATCCTGCAGGGAGCATCCCTAGGAAAGCATCCTCAGCCCGTCCTGCCTCAGAGTCTGTCCTCACCAGGGATGCTTCAGGGGGGTCAAGCAAAAATGTGCCCCAGGGCCGTGCTCATTCCCCCCTGTGCCGCTTTTGGTCCCTCTGCATGGGCACGCCCTGCGCTGAGTATCCAGCCCAGTCCCTGCCATGACCTGGCGGGAACAAACTGTCCCCATCCCCAGGGATGTGCCTGTGCAGGAGGAAGGGCTGGGGCGCGGCACTATCCCGGTCCTGCTTCCGCCCGCCCGCCCCACAGCAGGACCCGGCTATGGGGATGTCTCTGGCTGACGGCTGCTCCCAGGGTTGGGGGCTGTGGCAGGGGCTCCAAGTAGAGTGCACAGGCAGAAATGCCCCTGATGCCAAGTCCTGCTCTGGTCACTCTCATGCCTCAGTTTCCCTGGCAAACAGCATGGTTACACCCATCATAAGGGCAGCCCTAGATGATGCAAAAGAGCATTTGGGCCTTGATTTTTGGGGACCCAAGTCCCCACTCCCCAGAGCCAAGACACATGGGTGACCCAGACACATTCCCCTGCTGCTTGACTCCCAGCTGCGCTGGCCTGGGACCTAAGTAATTTCTGGGGGACAGAGGGTCTGGGTGAGCCCTGTGTGCTCTCTGTGGGGATCCTCTGCCACTGCTGGGGCTCTGTGCTCACCAGAGGATGTGGCAGGGCCACCAGCCCCCCAAGGCCCTGAGTCTCCGGCCCCCCAAGCTACTCTGCCCTGGCGCCAGGTCTGACTGCGGTTTCAGCAGCCACAGCCGATGCGCTTGCTCTTTCCATGAGCAAACGCCGTCACAGGCTGGGGGCCTCGGCGGCTGAGCAGCGGCTCCGGCAGCATCTGCATCGAGGCTTTGTGCCTGCCCCAAGCAAAGCCCCTTCCCATCCCCTCCCTCCCTGTCCCCTCCGCCATGCCGGGGTGTGAGGGGTGGCCAGGGGGCCAGGACCCCTTACCTGCCCTGTCCCAGGGTGGGAAACCTCCTGCCCACTGCTGTCATCAGCCTTGCGCGATTCAGCGAGCACCTCTGCTCCGGGACGGGGAGAAGCTCTCCCAGGCACTCTCCCGCCTTGCACTGAGCGTTGGGACTTTGGGGCGCGCAAGGCGGTGGCGGACCCTCCTCCTTCCCGTCCCAGCCCTCCTCCGGCCCTCCCTTCGCGGCCGGCAGGAATGTGTGGCCGGCACAGCCCAGCTCCCACCGCTGGCATGAATTCCTCCTCCTCACCCCGCTACTGGGGCCACCCAGACCTCCCAAATGCTCAGTGTTGGGGTGAGGAGCCCCCGGCCTTGGGGCAGCATGCGGGGAAGAGGGGCATCAGGCGCTGACTGAGTGCAGAGAAAGGGCAGTTGGGCCAGGGAAGGCGTGGTACGATGGGACCTTGTTTTGGGGAGAAATTTGGAGTTGTCTCCTTTGCCCATGCCCCCAGTCCCATGCACGCTGCTGGGCAGGGGACACATTTGGCCCCTTGTGCCCAGATGCCCATGGGCAGGGGGTTAAAAATCCCTCTTGTTGATTCTGAGGTCAAAAGCCTCCAAAAAATCCAATCCTCATCTGAGAGGGCTGAGCCCCCAAATTCCCCCAGAGAGTCAGTTTTGTGTTTGGAGTGGGGGGGTTGTGGCCAGAGTGGGAGGTTTGTGGCCAGAGTAGGGGGGTTGTGCCCAGAGTGGGGGGGTTGTACCCAGAGTG